CAGGCGCTCTTAGAAACGCCTCAAAAGCTGTTTGCCTTGATTTTGACGCCGACCCGAGAGCTGGCCTTTCAGATCAGCGAACAGTTGATGGCTTTGGGCTCCAGTTTTGGCCTGAAATGCGGTAATTATACGATAATTGGTGTCCAATGCGTGAGATACTGATCCCATTGACCACGAGTACAGTGACAATAGTGGGCGGAATGGATATGATTAGCCAATCGCTAAGTTTGGCGAAAAAGCCGCACATAATCGTCGCCACTCCCGGCCGACTGGTCGACCACTTGGAGAACACCAAAGGGTTTAACTTAAAGAGTCTGAAATACCTGGTGCTGGACGAGGCCGACAGGATCCTGAACATGGACTTCGAGCAGGAAGTGGACAAACTGTTGACTGTCATCCCCAAAGACAGGCATACGTTCATGTTTTCGGCCACAATGACCAAAAAGGTGCAGAAACTGCAGCGCGCGTCCCTCAAAGACCCGGTGCGCGTGGAGGTGTCGTCCAAATACCAAACGGTCGATAGTCTGCAACAGTATTACGTGTTTATTCCCGTCAAGTATAAGGTTTGTGTCACTGATGCATATGAATAGCCCAGGGATTTGTGATCTAATAAAATATTGTCTTATTTTTTCTGATGAATAGGACTTGTATTTGGTGTATATTCTGAACGAATTGGTCGGCAATTCATTTATGGTTTTCTGTAACACTTGTAATAATACTCAACGAATAGCACTACTGTTGCGGAATCTGGGCTTCACAGCCATCCCATTGCACGGGCAGATGAGTCAATCCAAACGACTCGGTTCTCTCAATAAGTTTAAGTCTAAGACACGATCCATTTTGATCGCCACAGACGTGGCCTCCAGAGGTCTCGATATCCCGCACGTGGACGTAGTCCTCAATTACGACATACCGACGCACAGCAAGGATTACATACACCGCGTGGGCCGCACGGCCAGAGCCGGCAGATACGGAAAGGCCGTCACGTTTGTCAGCCAATACGATGT